GCTTGGTCTACATAGTGAGTTCCAGGACAGCTGGGGCTACGGGGAGACCCTCTCTCAAAAAGACCAAAAAAAAAAAAACTGATTTATATTTTTATTTATGTGTATGTGTGTGTATCTGTGAGTGTATACCGCATGTATGAAGAGGGCATCACATCCCCTGGAACTGGACTTATAGGTGATTGTGAACTGCCTGACATGGGTGTGGGAACTGAACTCAGTTCCTTTGTAAGAGAAGCAAATGCTCTTAATCACTGAACCATCTCTCCAGCCCCTTTAATTTTTTTTTGATTTATTTATTTTTATTTTGTGTGTATGAGTGTTTTGCCTGCATGTGTGCAAGTGCACCCATGTCATACGGTGCCCACAGAGTACAGAAGAGGGTGTCAGATCCCCTGGAGCTGGAGTTACAGACAGTTGTTAGCTACCATGTGGGTGCTGGGTCCTTTGCAGGAGCAGCCAGTGCTCTTAACCGCTGAGCCATCTCTCCAGCCTCTTTAAAAAATATTTTAAATAATTGTATGTATGATACAGTGTTATGGTGTGGAATTTTTTACTTGAAGCATATGCTGGTGTTCACAAAGTTTCAGATTCTGACCAGGTGTGGTGGCTCACACCTGTTATCCCAGCCAGTGGGAGGCAGAGGCAGGAGGACCAGAAGTTCAGACTTAGCTGTGTAGTGAGTTTGAGACCGGCCTGGGCTGCATGAGACCTGCCTTCTTAGAAAAGGATTCTTATAGAACAGTTTTAGGATCTGGAGCTGTGGAACTTTTTTTACTGCTATGACCAAATACTGAACAAGCAGCTTCTTGAGGGAGGATGGGTTTATTTTGGCTCACTGAGGGGTGCAGTCCATACAGAGGAGATCGTGGTGGTGGGAGTGCTCTGCTGTGGCCGGGGAGCCTGCTGTCCATTCACATCTGGGTGGATCAGGAAGCAGAGCCCAGGGAATGCCAGTGCTTAGTGTCCTTCCCCTCTTTTGTTTAGTTGGGCCCAGCTCACAGGCTGGTGCCACCACTTAGAGGAGGGGCTCATCTTTCTCCAGGTAGACTTCTCTGGAGCGCACAGACTTCTTTCTTCTCATAAACATGATCGTAGTGTTTCTCCAAGGTGAGTCCAAGTCCAGTCTGGTTGATGGTGAAGACTAACTCCATGCTCAGCCTGTGTGGCTGTGATGAATGTCTTGAGCACTCAAACCATTATTTTCTCCAGCCAGGATGTGAAGTTGACATTGGGGGCATGGACTCGGTCCATGTCAGCCACTAACCACCTTCCAGCTAAAACAGCATAGACTATCTAGGACCAAAGGCCAGTGGTCATGAGTGCCAGAGCTAGATTCTGTAACCCGCCATCCGTTGGCAACGCCTCTCTTTTCAATATTTCTGCATGTATTTCTTCTGAGTGTTCTGTATGAATGGGTTTGTAGAATGTTGCTTTGATGGCTCTGTACTTAGTGTGGTTCTGGAAAAGTAGCTGACATTACCAGTGGCCCTGTCTCTTGTCCTCACCCCTGTGAGAGGTCTCTGTGAGTGATAGGGGTCCTTCAGGGCTCCCCGTCCTGATGGCCTCTCCCTACAGGCCCAGCAGGAGACACAGAAGGCAGCACTGAGGTTTGAGCGGGCCGTGAGCATGCACAGCGCTGCCCGGGAGATGGTCTTTGTGGCCGAGCAGGGTGTCATGGCTGACAAAAACCGACTGGACCCAACATGGCAGGAGATGCTCAACCATGCCACCTGTAAGGTGAGTGGCACAGCCAGCAGGCACCGGCCTCTGCGTCCTTTGCCGCCCTCCACCTCACGTCTTTCCTTCCTCTCCCTCAGCTTTGGTCTGTTGCAGGCAGAACCATTTGCTCTGATTTAGAATGGCCGCCTTTGCTGTTTCCTCTCATGGGGACTAACCCAGGCAGCTCCTTCCCCAGGCTCTGGATTCAGTACTCAAACATGGTTAGGTTTAACTTTGTAACTTTTTGCTTCTGTTTTCAGAAAGTTTTCCCCTTACTAGTTCTGCACGTGGCCAGTGTACGTTGGTGTGGGGTATAATTTGTGTACCATTTTCAAGCTCCTGAAAGACTGGGGGGTGAGAGGATCCTGGCAGGGCTCAGCCTGCTTCCTTCAGCTGTACAGGGCACAGAGCTGCTCCCTGGTGGCGACTGTCTGTCTCTTGTCTTGTGCACAGAGCAGACATGTTCTACAACTGTGCAGCTCATGAGATGAGAGCGCTTCGGAGGGTCATCGGAGTTGGGGCAACTGTAGGGACGGCCGCCCCTTGGAGGCCGCCTGGGCTCAGGCATCTGCCGAAAGCAGACTCCTGGTGCTCCTGGGAGACGAGGTGGCTGAGGCCCTCACCTGCCCCTGGTCACGCTGCTCTGGGCTGCGCACAGGTAGGGAGGGTGTGCAAACCAGGAGGATGCAGCTGTGGCTCCTCACTCAGTCTGCTAGCCCCAATCCCCGGCCCCCGCACTGAGGGCCCCCCAGGACTCAGGTACCTGCACAGTACCGTGTGCGTGAGGTGCTTGTCCACACTGTGAAGGGCTGAGATGGCTGCAGCACCCTTCCCTTGGCGTCCACAAAACGTAGTGGCAGGTGACGACGGACATGACAGTGGGAAGCTGTGGTCACAGGCGTGTGCTCAAGGTGTCTCTTGAGGCTCCTGAGCCCCTGTCCCACACATCTGCTCTGCAGGGGATGGGAGTGAGGGCACAGGGACGCTGAAGAGGTCCCATTCACGTTCCCCAAGGACAGTACACAGTTGGCATTATGGGCCGTGTTCCAAGCGAGGCATGTGCTCCAGTTCAGTGACCTGTGTCTTCTTCCCTGGGGCCAGGTGAACGAAGCAGAGGAAGAGCGGCTTCGAGGGGAACGCGAGCATCAGCGTGTGACTCGGCTGTGCCAGCAGGCTGAGGCCCGAGTCCAGGCCCTACAGAAGACCCTCCGGCGAGCCATTGGCAAGAGCCGCCCCTACTTTGAGCTCAAGGCCCAGTTCAGTCAAATCTTGGAGGTAGCTGAGTGGGAGTAGAGGAAGAATGAACAGATGGGGGAGAATGGAGAGTTGTGGAGAATGGACAGATGTGGGAATGGACAGATGTGGGAATGGACGGATGTGGGAATGGACGGATGTGGGAATGGACGGATGTGGGAATGGACGGATGGGGGAATGGACGGATGGGGGAATGGACGGATAGGGGAGTGGATGGATAGGGGAAAGTGTGCTGCTTTGGTCCATGCTGGGGGGTGATTTTTTGAAGAGCGGCTTCGAGGGGAACGCGAGCATCAGCGTGTGACTCGGCTGTGCCAGCAGGCTGAGGCCCGAGTCCAGGCCCTACAGAAGACCCTCCGGCGAGCCATTGGCAAGAGCCGCCCCTACTTTGAGCTCAAGGCCCAGTTCAGTCAAATCTTGGAGGTAGCTGAGTGGGAGTAGAGGAAGAATGAACAGATGGGGGAGAATGGAGAGTTGTGGAGAATGGACAGATGTGGGAATGGACAGATGTGGGAATGGACGGATGGGGGAGTGGACGGATGGGGGAGTGGACGGATGTGGGAGTGGACGGATGGGGGAGTGGACGGATGGGGGAGTGGACGGATGTGGGAGTGGACGGATGTGGGAGTGGACGGATGGGGGAGTGGACGGATGGGGGAATGGACGGATGGGGGAATGGACGGATGGGGGAGTGGATGGATAGGGGAAAGTGTGCTGCTTTGGTCCATGCTGGGGGATGATGTCAAAGCCTCTGTCAGATTGGTCTGTACTAGTGGGCGCTCAGAATGACCCAGCAGTGATGAGGGTGTGCTGGCAGACACAGATCAAGAAGCCAGAGTCGATGGGAAAAAGTGGAACCTTGGGATGGAGAAGCCAGATGAAGCAGAAGAGGAAGAGTGGATGTGAGGAGCTGTGAGGAGTGCTTGGGGCTCAGGAGCAGTGGAATTGTGGGAGTGACCTTCAGAGCAGGCAGTGGTGCTGGGGAGGTTATTGCATTTGGTGGTGCTGAGTGGCATCAGGAGACACCCCATAGGTCACACGTTTCCCCTGCAGGAACACAAGGCCAAGGTGACGGAATTGGAGCAGCAGGTGGCACAGGCCAAGACCCGCTACTCAGTCGCCCTGCGCAACCTGGAACAGATCAGCGAGCAGATCCATGCCCGGCGCCGTGGCCTACTGCCCCATCCCCTGGGGCCTCGGCGCTCCTCCCCAGTGGGGGCTGAAGCTGGGCCTGATGGCATCGAGGATGGGGACAGCGGGATCGAAGGGGCAGAGGGCGGTGGCCTGGAGGAGGGCAGCAGCCTCGGGCCTGGCCTGGGGCCAGATACAGACACGCTGAGCCTGCTGAGCCTGCGCACTGTGGCCTCTGATCTGCAGAAATGCGACTCGGTGGAGCACCTGCGTGACCTCTCAGACCATGCCAGTCTAGACGGCCAAGAGCTTGGACCCCAGAGTCGGGGACGCCGGGGAAGTGATGGCGGGGGCCGAGGGGGTCGGCACCAGCGCAGTGTCAGCCTGTAGCTCTGTGGCCAGCATGCTGGCTGGACTTTGCATGGGCGGTCAGGGCCCTACAGGCCTCTTCTCTTTCTGAGTCCTGTCTGCTCCCAGATCCTGGTCTGCAGCTGTCTCTGGGAGAGGGCAGCTGCTGTCAGTCCTGTCTCCCTGGCTCTCCCTCCGGTCTCTTATCCCTCGTCCCTCATCCCTTGAGGGGTAGCTTGCCTCACCTGCCGGAAGGCTTGCCCTGCCCTGTCTGCACTCATGGCTGGTGTTGCCGTCTCTCTCATGCTCTCGGCTCCCTCTCTTACCCACTTTTCTGTTCTTCTGGCTTTTTCCCTCAGGGTCTTGAGGACACAGGAAGCTCCTGTGCGAAAATGAGCGTCTAGCCTGGGTGGCTGAGCACCTAGCCCAGGTGGCTGGACAGCCCCCACTTGTCGACCCCTGGCCCTGTCCACTTCAGAAGGCAGCTCCCTAGGGCTCTATGATTACTGTTGAGTCCTGGTGGCTCTGTACCCTTGTCCTGTCCCAGCCTGCCAGTGAGCAGTGTGTAAGATGTCCCATGTGCTCTGGAAGATCCTCTGTGCCCCTCGTGACCAGAGCTGCTGTGTTGTCTGTGTCCTAACACAGTGTCAGGGAGGGGAGCCCAATCCTGTTACCAACCCAGGGAACAGGGCCAGCTCTAAATGGCCCCTGTGTGTGATATGTCCCCAGCTGGGCTGAGCCCTTAACATCAAGGTGCTAGTGAGTTCTTGACAGGGTCTGTGCTGGAGGATAGTGATGAGATGCTGAGGGCTGGGACCATCCCTGCCATCCCTGCTGTTCCTCAGGAGTAGCGCTGGGTTTAGTTTTTCTTGGTAGACTTGAATGAAAGCGTGGCACCCTCCTACAGGGCGGCGTTAGGGAATCTGGTGCTCAACTGCCCTCCCTTGCACTTCCCACACCAAATAGTCCCTATTCCTTGAACCTTTGGGGAGTGTCCAAGCAAAGACCCCCCCCTGCCCCCTTGAGGGAGGAGCCGGTCAGCGAGGAGTCCCAGCCTCAGGGAGCAGCTCCAGGTGCTGGTAGTGTTTCTGGGGTGTGCGAAGGAAGCCTTGGAAGACCTTCCTGCTCAACCCAGGAGGATGGAGAGTTCTATCTGGGCCAGGAGTGCACTCCATGTTCACATGGGGTCTCCTGATCTGTGGACTGGAGGATGGTCATGATGAGAACCTGTGGGGTTTGAGGTGGCCACACATGGACAGGAGACGTGGAGGACATGAGTGTTCGAGTGCATGTGCTGGTGTGTGTGGGTAAGGGTCAGGTCTGGTTCTATTTAAATAAAATGGTATATGTAGCAGTAATGCTTGCTGTCTCTGTTGAAAGAAAAGGGTAGGATGACATGGGGACCCCAGACAGTGTGGTCATGGAGAGGACTGAGGACCAGGTGGGTCCCACTGACTGAGCAGAAGGCAAGAAGTGCCAGCCTTTGTGTGTCACCCCAAGCCAAGTGTGGACAAAGGCTGGGGAGCCAGCACCCAGGAGCTGTGCTGTGCCAGGTGCCAGGGAAGAGCTTGGTGCAGAGGGCCAGCAGGGCCTGCTGCAGCTGAGATGAGAGGGCAGCATCCTGGGTATCTGCACTTGACCATGAAGGAGGACAGGGTCGAGGTAGGACCTTGATCACTGTGTTCCACCCAACCTTGACTTTCACGTAGACGATGGCGTTTTTCCTGTGATGTTGGGCCATCATTGTGTTATCTATTGTGTATCTGAGGTTAAAATTGAGGCAGATGAGGGTAGCTTTAAGTTGGAACATGTCTGGGTTTAGGTGGGAAGGCTTTGAGTGTGTTTAGACATATAGGTGGGGAATGCCTGTGGAACAGCTGGTAAATCTGATCTGTGAGGAACCTCAAAGGTAAATACTGGACTGGGGATGAGGCTTAGTGGTAGAATGCCTGCCACTCCCCAGCACTGCACAAGCCAGGTGTGGTGCACAGTTGTAATCCCGGCACTTGGGAGACAGAGATAGGAGGATTGGAAGTTCAGGGTAATCTTTGGCTACATAGCGAGTTTGAGTCTGCCTCAGAAACAAAGGTCAGGAGGTCTTGGTGCTGCTACAGCTGGGGTGTTGTCCCAGTTTGCTTTCTGATGCTCTGATAGACACCGTGGCTGAAACCAACTTGGGGAGAAAAGGGTTTATTTGGCTCACAAGAGTCCATCACTGAGAAGCCAGGGCAGGAGCCTAGAGGCAGGCACTGAAGCTGAGGCACGGAGGAGCACTGCTGACTGGCTTGCTCAGCCGCCTTACATGTCCCAGGCTCACCTGCCTGTGGATGGCACACCGACAGGGGGCTGGGCCCTCAGCCCTCCCACCTCACCTGGCAGTCACAGTGCCAACAGGTCAGTCTGATGGAAGCGGTTCTTCAGTCGAGGTTCCCTCTTCCAGGCGTGTCAAGTTGACACTCAGGCTTGGCCATCACAGGTGTAAAGCTGTGATGCAGGGTAAAGGTGGTGGGTCAGCCAAGGAGAGGAGGACAAAGATCTAGGAGCAGGAGGGCCTCAGAGGCCAAGGAGGGCAGGGTGAATGAAGCCAAGAACTGGGAAGGCACCAGCAGCAGGGCTTGGTGGCACAGGCCTTTAATCCCAACACTCGGGAGGCAGATGCAGGTGGATCTCTGTGAGTTCAAGGCCAGCCTGGTCTACATAGTGAGTTCCAGGCCAGCTGTGGCTACAGGGAGACCCTGTGTCAAGCAAAGGCACAAACAGACCAGGAATCCTGGTGACACTGGCTTGGAGAATGGAGAAGGGCCCCAAGGAGCCAGTGCATACTGAGTGGTCACCGTGCCCTTTCGTAGGCACTGTCCAGGCCTGTGAGGCCGTCTTTCCTGTTCTGGCAGGTAGGTGCCTAAGTATCTCCTTCATTACTAGAAAAGTTGCTGTGAGTGTGTGGCTCAACTCTGGTGAATAGACTAAAACCTTAGTTGTTTCTATCAAAGGTGCAGAATAGGGTGTTTTGCTAAACAGTGAAATAGTTACTATAAGCTTAGAGTTACCCTCTCTCTTGAGGTAAAACTCCTAAAATCCCCGTCAGCAAATCTAATTATGTAATATAATTGTAGTTCTCAGGAATGCACTTTCCGAGGTGACACCAGCCAGTCCCTGTCAGGCAGGACCCGAAAGGCTCCTGACGCAGGGGAACCCAGAGAAGGACTGGACTGTGTCGCCTACCAGACAAGGCAGAATGTGGAGACACCGGAGAGGCAGAGAAAATGGCATTTCCTCCAAGTAGAAAACAGCATACCCTACGGAGATGCTCTCCCTCCCCTGCTATGAATAGCGGTCTGTGCTCACCCAGGGTGTCTCCAATCAGGCACATGCACCTGCACAGTTTCCGTTCTGTCATGCCACCTGCCACCTTCCTCGAATGATGCAATTTGTCACAACTCCTGTTGACTATAGCAGGTTCAATTGCTAATGTCAAAGGCTTGTCGCATCCTGCGCGTGACAAGCTTTATATGAGGGTTGCATTTCCCTCATCTTGATGTGCTTTTGACAAGCTTAGCAACCTTAATTTACACTGAGGGGTGGTGGGCCTCTTGGTCTGTCACAGACATATACTGGGCAGTGGGCAGCAGCTGTCTCAAATCGGAGACTGCTTTGTACTCTGAGCATGGGGTGTTTGTCCTACCAGCCTGCGTGTCCTCATCCACACTGCAGAAGGGCCTGGGAAGCTGACCTTGAGAGGTGAGTGGATGTGTCCACAGACTAACCCTCCCCCAGCTCCCCTTGGACTCACTTGTGTGAGAACAGGGGCAGGTCTGGAGGGGCAGGTTTGCCCCCTTGAGATTCTTGGTAGCATTGATCACCCCGGGTACCTCCTCCCCGTCCTGTGGTAGTGGCAGGCAGTGAGCTGCACTGACCTCAGGCTGATGTCCTTCGAGGAATGGAGGCTGTGGCCTGGAAAGTTGAGCGCTTCTTCAAACACTGTTACTAGAAAGCTGGTGGAGGGGGGGTCCAAGAGAGGACACCATTCAGATGGCAAGGGCTAGGTTACTTTAAATGCTTATAGAACAAAGAAAACAGTAATGGATAAGGGGTAAAAGGTGATTTGCTTTCTGGTGCTCAAGAGGACAGTTTCCCAGCACTGGAGTTCCGTCATAAGCCGTTACAATTATCTATGGGCCATCAAGCAGCCGGGCTTTGATCCCTGGGGCATCTGTGATTGGAGTCAGGGATCAGGGTCAAGTTCCTACTGGGGCCAGTCCTTAGCTGCCTACCTTCCCTTTGTCTTCTGCTCTGTCCCCCCTGGTGTGGCTTTCCCTCTCCATAGCCTCCCATGCCCCTCTCCTCTTCTGAAGCTTCAGTCTGCACCCCACTGCTGGGGCTCTAGAAGGAAGGGATGCAGACTTACTGGCCTGTCAGTGGATGTGTTTGGTTTAAAAAACATGCTAGTGGAGGCTGCACTATCTATGCCCAGCAGATGCCTGGCATCTGATAATTTGTAAAGGTGGTTTTGTTTGGTCAGGGATGTTCCAGTGTGAGGACACCGGTAGAGACAGATAACACCATAGACCTGCACTGTGACTGGGCTTCCGGGAGGTTGATGTGCACAGGAAGTACAACACTGCCAGGACAAGTGACTACACCCTCCAGGGGACAGATGTTGGGAAGGGCAGGGCCTTTGGGAGATGTTTGTTACTGTTTGTTGCTGTGATAAAACATGATCAAAAGGGACTTAGGAAGAGTTTGTTTGGCTTATGGTTCCAGAGGGAGAGCCCGTAATGTCAGGGGAGGGAGGCAGGGCAGCAGGTGGCCAGAACAAGAAACAGATCACACCTTCAACCACAAACACCAAGCAGAGTGAACTACACAGGGACGAGGCTATAAATGCAAAGCCCCCAGGGCATACTTCCTCCTCCAAACAGCACCACCAGCTGGGGACCAAGGGTTCAAATACTTGAGCCTGTGGGAGACACTGCTCATTCAAACCACCACTGGAGGGCACTGCTGTCTGAACTCTGAGTTAGCCCATTGGCTTCAGACTTGAGAATTGACTCCAGAAGAGTCCCCCTTCCATGCCTAGGGTCCTCGGACACCTCAGTGAAGCCTGTCACGAGCTTCTCTGGCTTGGGCCTAGTTCTTAACACTTTGGTGATCTTAGGGTCTGAGACATGGCACATTTCTCCAAGCGTTTGTTCCCTGACTTCTGCTTGTGCTGCTCTCAGTGCAAACTTGTCTGTTCTCTTCTCAGCCCACCAAACTAATCTGCTCCCCCTCTTCCTCCTCCTCCTCCTCCTCTTTCTCCTCTTCCCCTTCCCCTTCCTCCTCCTCTTCCTCCTCTTCCCCTTCTTCTTCCTCCTCCTCTTCCTCCTCCTCTTCCTCCTCCTCTTTCTCTTCTTCCTCCTCCCCCTCTTCCTCCTCCTCCTCTTTCTCCTCTTCCCCTTCTTCCTCCTCCTCTTCCCCTTCTTCCTCCTCCTCTTCCTCCTCCTCCTCCTCCTCTTCTTTCCTGTTCTCTCCTTTCAACAGGGTCTCACTATGTATCCAGGTTGATCTCCAATTTGTGATTCTCCTACTTCAGTCTCCTGAGTGCTGGGATACTGGGTGACTTATGTTGAATTTTTTTTTTTTTTGGGTCTTTTTGAGACAGGGTCTCCCTGTAGCCCCAGTTGTCCTGGAACTCATTATGTAGACCAGGCTGGCCTTGAACTCACAGAGATCCACCTGCCTCTGCCTCCCCGAGCACTGGGATTAAAGGTGTGTGCCTCCATGCCTGGCTCAACAAGTGGATTTTTAACCAATGGCCTTTCTGGATCTCTAGTTCTCTTTCAATTTGAACAAACTCCCATCACTCCCAGGCTCCCAGGCCTCCTCTGCCTTGCTGAAGAACTAACTAGGCATGTGCCTTCTGCATATACAGTGGTGGAATCAGGACAGTTGCATTTGAAAGGGGGCAGGTGTAGCCTAGGGCTGACTTGGGTGTTCTAGGACCTGTGGCCACCCTCATTCTAGATGCTCAGTGAACGTCTGTCCATGTGCTCATGCACTGAAAACATGTTTTATGCATAAAGGGTTGTCCTTGCCTTGGCTCAGCTGTGATGGTCTGTGCACACATGAACAAGCCACTCAGCACCTTGGGCCTCTACAGTCCAGTATGTAGGGAGAGTGGCTGGACTTCAAGCCTCTTGTGTTATCTAAGGTACTAAAGTTATACAGGTGGCAGTGAAGGCTAGGCCTCACGACGTAAGGAGGTGAGTGTGGTTACTGAGAGGACAGAGGGTCAGATTGTGAAGGCTGAGCAAGACCAGGCCTGGTGAGGGTCTAGCCTGGTGAAGGTCTGCATGCAATGTCTGTCAGGGGTTG